AGACATCTTTTATACTGCTTCTAAGAACAAATGGATGAAGCATGTAAGAGATTGGCCATCTTATTGAAACAAGAACATGAACAAAAGTAATTAAATATATTAATATTCAATATTATTATTATAATAATTCTATCATGCATGTTGTTTACAAAATGTGTGAATAAAGTGTACAAACAAAGTGTATCATACACCCAATAATATAACCTGTAAATGATGTTGAAATATTTACAATCAAAATCCAATTCAATTATCCCATCCTATTATGATAATTATTTGTTAAACCCTAAATTTAGAGTGTTATTATTCTTGTTTGTACTTTTCTTTAAATTCTTCCATTTCTTTATCAATTTGAGATTTAATTAATTGTTGAGAAGTTTGAACTTCTTGGTCACTAAGTAAATAAGCTTTCTTTTCTTGATTTAAAATTCTAAAAGCTTCAATATTAACTCTATTAATCATATTACCAAATCCCATATTTGAAAAGTATAAATAACTAACACCCAATGTACTAGTAATAAATAACATGGCAGCTGTAATTTTATCTTTTGGTTTCTTCCATAATAAACCAGCTGTTGCTAAAGATGATAAAATTAAAGGCTTTTCATGTGAAGATGCAATATCTCTCATTTTGGCAACATTTAATGAAAATGATTCTTCAACTTGTTGTTCAAATGTTGCAAATCTAGGATCAACATATGGAATACGACGATATCCTTTTTGATCAAAATTAAATACAGGATAATTAAATTGATATTCATCATTTCTTAAAATATCTTTTAATCTTTTATCTTTCTTTTCACTTAATTCATCAAATTCCATTCGGAATTGTACTTGAGGTGCATCTTGTTTATCATTTAATGGTTTTGTTATTATTACATTCTTATTTTCATTAATATGTGATTCCGAAATTTCAATGACATCAGGTTTAAAAATTTCATCCGCAATATGTTGTTCTACCTTTTTATCTTGACTCATTTTTTTTAATTTGAATTTTAAATTATTTTAATCGCATAAATAGTTTATTATCTGTTGCATTGAAAATTAATCTTATTGAAACATTTGTATAATAATTTATTTGTTATGACTTTTTCGTGGACATTTTTTTAAAAATTCTTGTTTTTCCAATTCAACTTGTTCTCTTCTTGAAAGTGTTTTTTGCTCCAGCGATAAAGTTGAAGAGGAATTATCAAAACATTCTCTAAATCTACTTGTTGCTTTCCTTGTCATTTTCAATTTAGATTTAAAATCACTATATAAATCAGTATTGGTTTCTTCTTTTGGAATTGTTTTTGGATTATGTGAAACTCTAGCTTGAATATGATCGAAATTTGAATTCTTTTTTGATTTTTCAGGTAATGGAGCTTTCATTGTTGCATCCAACAATTTTACAATTTCAATCTAATATGAATTATTAAGTATATATTTATCAATAATATTTAAATACTTACAGCTCTCTTTCTTACTTGATCATCTGGATCCTGTATTGCTCTCACATATCTCAATATATCATCTCTATGTACATGCATAGATCTTCTACTAGTTGAAGATCGAAATGATAATAATCTATCTGTATCTACAGTTGCAGTATAATTCTTATTAAGTGAATGAGTTGGATTATCAACTTTGTGTATTGGTGATGATTTTAAATTATGATGAATTCCATTGACTTGATGTTTTAATTCTTTCAATTTTTGTTCAATTACTGAATTGGGTATATTGGACATTTCATTAATTTGCGAAATATCTAATTGTAAACTAGAGTCATTTATCCTAGATGAATTTAGTGTACTATTAGTTGAATTAAATGACAAATTATTTGAAACATTAAAACTATTGGAAATATCTTCATTTCCCTCAATAGAACTTTGATTTGATAATTTCTTAAGAATGCATGGAGTTGAAGATGGAATTGGTAAAGGAGTATTAGGGGAATAAAATTGAGTATTATCAGAATCATCAATTAATTGTAAATGTTCTAATCTTTGTTGATAGGCTATTGAAGGTGGAGTACTCATCATGGTCATCATTGGTGATCCAAAATATTCATAATCTGATGTATTACTTGAATTTAATGTCATATTTTGAATTTGAGAAGGAATATGAATATAATCATCATATTCTTCTTCCATTATACTTTGATTAATACTTGATTGACCATCATTGTGAATAATACTACTAGGAGGAGGTGGTGTTGAGTTAGGAATTGGTGATTGATTGATTGTATTATTTGTATATATAACCATGCTATCATCTTGAATTGAACGCTTATTAACTAAGGTTGGTGTTGTTGTGGGTGAATCACCATTTTCATATTTATATGGTGTTGTTATTGATGGTGAGGTGTTTAGTTCTGATAAGGCTTTTGTTGTTGAGGTGGTGGTGGTGGTTTGTTGTTGTTGTCTGAAGGGCTTTTTATTAGCCTTCTTGTTATTGAGGTTTTTTGGTTTTTTCATAATAAATACAGTAAAATGTTATCTAGGCTTTTTTTTAAAAGTTTAAACGTTATATCTCAATATGTACCTGTAATGAACCTTAACAGGATTTTGGAGGTTTGTTAATTTTGTGTTTTATATCAAACCTTCCCAAAAATCAGTAACATGATTGAGTGAAATAATTATTATATTATGATATTGATTGATATTGACAAACAATTTCTATTGATGTTGATATTATTAGAGAGATTCAGTTCAATATTAAAATTTCAATTATTCCGAATTTATTTCTTTTCATTATTTACTACTCTTCTCTTTAAAGGTATACCATTAGTAACAAATGTAGCCATTGGATCATATTTTGATGAAGGATTAAATAATTTTTGATAACGTAAATACATCATTCTGACTGAATATTCTCCCAACGATATAAGAGCACCCGAAATAAAAGGAACAACAACTACGGATGATAATTTAGAAAATACAGGTGTGAATACAGAAAAGATTGATGATAATGATGATGAAGATTGATTATCAAGAACTATTGGAGTACTAGTGGTTGTTGTTGAAGTCATATTTTTTATCTATTTTAATCAAATAATAATATTAAATATTATTATTAATATAATAATTGATCAAAGGCCTGGAAGAACTTGACTAAATATATTTCAAAAGTTTACAAGTTAGTATTCAATCAATTCTACAAATAACCTTGTTGTAGATTGTTTCAGAATCTGATCTTTAATCAACTACAAGATTCATCATCACGGGATTCTTTTGATATTATTAATCATCAAACACAATAAAAATATAAAAAAATGACAACTCGTTTTCCTTTAAACACCAACCCAACCATAATGAAAAAAGTAGCCTCTTCAACATCAAGTAATCTTACAACTCCAATGATTCATTCATCATCAAATAATTTTACAACCAATGCAACAAATCAGGAAGAAAATTTTACTCTTCATGAATGGAAATTCCAAACATTAAAAACACCAATTTTAAATCAAACAGAAATGGATGAATTAAAAGATGAATTGGATGTTTATGCACTTCCAGAACAAACATTTAATTCATATTTATCAATTAAACATGGTAATTTTGAATTTAGTTATCTTCCAAAAGATTGTATTAAATTTGCAAGAAATCAAGTAATTAATCAAATTGAACATTTACAAAAAATTAAAGTAAATTGTTCTGATACTTGGGCAAATAAGAAACTTGATGGAGAAGAAACTATTGTATCTGAAAGAGATGATAAAATTGATTGGACATTTACAACAATTTACAAAGGAACAACAAATCAACAAGCAAATCAAACATCAAGAAAAATTGATTATGAACTTTTAAAAAGAAAAGATGATCCAATTTTATTCTATGATGAAATTGTATTATTTGAAGATGATTTACATGATCATGGTGTTTCACATTCAACTGTCAAAATTCGTGTTATGAATCATTGTTTTTATGTTTTAATGAGATTCTTTTTACGTGTTGATGGTGTTTGTGTTAGATGTATTGAAACTAGATTATTTCATAAATTTGGAGAAGATCACTTATTACGTGAATTTTCAATTAGAGAATCTGCTTGGAAAGATTTGATGAATAATCATTCTTTTAATGCTCAATTCAGTTTTGATCAAACTGTAATTTCAAATCCAAATATTCTCTCTCCATTGTTAAAGATTAAACAAGAATATACTGATGAAATTAAAATTGAATAATTTCAATTTCTTCCTCCTTTAACCCCTCCTCTTAATTTCATTATTATTATAATAATAATTATATATTCATATATATGTAAATAAAATTAATTCAAAGCTTTGAATAACGTTGGGGTGGTTCTTTTGTTGGTGTATTCTTGTTAATTGATTTGGTTTTGGATGTTGTAGTCTTTTTCTTATTAGTACTACTACTTGTAGATTTCTTTGATGGATTCAAATCAGATTCCATTTGTTTTAATTCTCTTTGATAATCATTATAGGCAGCTGCATGAAGAGTTTTCAAATCATTTTCACTCAAATCAGATGCCAATGAATCCTTATTAGTAATTTTAGCAAAATTATATTGAGATTTATCCATAAAATCATAAATACTCTTTATAATATCCAAAGTAACAGTTTGTAATTTTGGTTGAAAAGCAGGTGATTTTACAATCTTTTTATCCAAAGTGAAAAACATTCCAATAATAGTTTGTTTAGAATAAGTATTCTTCTTTTTTTCATCAGATAATAAATCATCCAAATTAATATCTTGAATTAAAGGTCTCATTCCAAATAAATTTGCAATTTCACCATTTAAATCTGCCCAAATATTAATACCAGATGGAACATTTTTAGTATTCAAATCAAATGTTTCCAAACTTGGACAAGTAATAAAAATATGAATATTCTTTTGTTGTTTTGATAATACTACCGATGATTTAAATGATTGTAATAAAGAAGTTGTAAATTGATCAGTTGAGTGATCAGCCTTTGGAAAGAAAATTAAACAATGGCTTTTTGTTAATTCATCACTTGATAATTGATTTCTATTTCCTAATATTAATCCTAATAAACTTTTTCTTCCTTGAATTGTAAATTTAGGAATTTCACTTCCAGTTGCGAGGGCTTGTTTATAATACCAAAACCACCAAGTTCCAGGTTTTTTAACTACATTTGATGTTGTTGTTGTTGCTGTTGTATCAAGAAACCCATCATGATCATTATTAGATGTTGTTGATGCTGCTTTGGATTTCCTAGTTGATGTTTTCTTTTTAATTTCCAATGATTGACTTGATGATTTGGTTGAAGCCTTTTTTAAAGGCTTTTTTATAGCCTTCTTTTCAGTACCTCCTCCTGCAACATTATTTGAAGATGCTAATTGAGACATTTTTTTCAATTTTATTTTTAATATTATAATAATTATTGAATATATATCAAAAATATTATTATTATTAAAATAATCATTTATTCTCATATGTACATTTAAATATAATCATTCATCATATCTTTATCATATCTTTATCATTATCATGAAATATATATCAAATATTTTTGTTAACAATTTAATTTTAATTGATTATATTTTTGTTCTAATTGATTAATAAAATCATTTTCATCTTGATAACCATCATTATATTCACATCCAGATGAATTATCAGAATCATAATCAATTGTTGAATCAATAATTTCATCATCAACTTCTTCATTTCCACAATTATTTGAAATTGTTGTTCTATCTTCATCTTCATCTTCATCAATTACAATACTTGAATCTTCTTCAATATCAAGTGTTGAAGAGGAACTTGAACGATCTAATAAATTAGAACTTGAATTGATATTTCTACTTGTTACCTTTTTAGGTGATTTTAATTTTTCTAAATCTTCTTTTGGTGTTTCTGAAAATTGTAATTCTAATTTAAAATCATCTGGGAATGTACTCTTACTTTTAATTTTATCAATTTCTATTTTTTGTAATGTTACACTATTATTTTGTGGTATAAATTGAGTATTTAACCATAAATGGAATAATAATTTAGTTTTTGTTAAATTAACTTCATAAAATAAAATTTTTAAATCTCCACAAATTGGAATCTTTTTTTTAACTTGTTGTAATGGAATTGTAATTAAAGATTCACTTTCTCTTTTAGATTTATATTTAAATGAACATAAAACTTCTCCATCTTTATCTCTAATTTCCATTTTAAAACTTGCTCCTAAAATAGAAATAGGTGGATTAAATAATAACATTAAATCTAAATAAAGTGTTGCATTTGGTCTTGGATATTGAAATCCATTTTTAACATATTCACTAAAATATTCAACATAACGTCTCTGAGAAGGAATTGTTACACCTTCCTTATTTCTAGTTCTAGATTCTGCATAGAAATCCATTGAATTGATTGGATCTTTATGAGATCCATTATATAATAAATAGGCACATATCATTGTACCAGTTCTTCCTATATATATATATATTTATATTAGATATTTACATATATTTATATATATATTAGATATATTTACATATTTATATATATATTAGATATGTTATTATTATTGTAAAAATGATTTTAAAATTCAGCATTGATTATAATATTATTATACTCAAGTACTTTACCTTTACCTGCTTTACAGTGAATAATTGCAACATTTCTTGGATCTTGTTTTAACCATTCATCCATAGAACGACAACAAGGTAACATCATTTCAAATGGTGGAGCATTATGATCTGAATTAATGAATTTCATCAATGTTTCAATAATGAATTATTTAAATATAAACATTAATATAAACATTAATAATAATAATATTATTAGAAACAAACCATCAAATGGAAATCTTTCAACTCTTCCTTCAAAAGAAGAAGGTTCATAGGTTTTTTCAGAACATAAATTATAAACCTTGTAATGTTCTCCGTGATTTCTTTTTAACATTCTTTGTACTTCTTCCATTGGATTACGAAATAATGCTTCCTTTCCTTTATAATGATATGAATTAAAATTAATTATGATGATGAATTATAATGATGATGTAAAAATACATACCAACACTCGGAAAACCCATGGCAATAATATTTGGTGTTACATATGTCAAATCTATAATAACTGTCAATATTTGTGATTACTGACACTTACCAAGATCAAAACCACCTTCTTGATACCTCTTCTTTTTCTTTGAAACTAATCTTCTAGCAATATTCATTTTTTTTCGATTGATTTCTGATAAGAATCGGCTAATTGCAATTACAAATAACTTAGATATTTTAGAGATTTATTTAGTTCATCTTGACGTGTTTCTTAATCCATTCAGTAGTCACAGATTTTGGTCTTTCAATTGGGAGACCCAAAGCTCTGTCCCACAATAAACTAGACAAAACACCAATACCACGAGAAACACCAAACATGACAGTGTAATAATCTTCTTCAACGAGTCCGTAATGTTGCAACAAACAACCAGAGTGGGCATCAACGTTTGGCCATGGATTCTTGGTCTTTCCGTGTTCAGTCAAAACATCAGGAACAACTTCATATAAAGTAGAAACCAATTTGAACAATGGATCGTCCTTCATGTACTTTTGAGCAAATTCTCTTTGACAAGTATATCTTGGGTCAGTCTTTCTCAAAACAGCGTGACCGTAACCTGGAACGACACGTCCACCATTCAAAGTATCCCAAATTAATTGTCTTAAAACTTCCTTAGTTGGTTCTCTTCCATTCAAATCCTTTTGAACTTCCTTCAACCATTTCAAAACTTCTTGATTGGCCAAACCATGCAATGGACCAGCCAAACCGTTCATACCAGCAGAGAGTGACAAGTATGGATCGGAGAGAGCAGAACCAACAAGGTGAGTAGCGTGAGCAGAAACGTTACCACCTTCATGGTCAGTGTGAATAGACAAATATAAACGGAACAATTCAGCAATTTGCTTGTTTCCACCGAAACCCATCATTGAGGCATAATCGGCAGCCCAATCCAATGATGAATCACTCTTAATATATTGACCATTGTGATAAGTCTTTCTGTAGATAATAGAAGCAACAAGTGGCAAACGAGCAATACAGTTCAAAACATCTTCATAAGTATGAATCCAGTATTCTCTCTTGTGAACACCATCTTGATAAGCTTGAGCAAACTTAGAGTCCTTTTGCAAAGCCAAGATAGCCATAGAGAATTGTGTCATTGGGTGGAGATTATTTGGGATGGATTTAACGAATTCAACAGTTTTTGGATCAACTTGTTGGGCTCTTTGTTGCAAGTCAGCTCTCAAACCTTCGGTTTGTTGAGGAGTTGGGACTTCACCAGTTAACAACAACCACAACATAGCTTCTGGGAGAGGTTCTTGACCACCTTGAGCCTTTGTCAACTTTTCTTGACATTCTGGAATGCTGTAACCTCTGAATCTGATACCTTCTTCAGGATCCAAGAGAGAAGTTTCAGTGACTAAACCCTTGATACCTCTCATACCTTCATAGGCCATTCTAACAGTAGTATCACCGAGGGAGACATTACCAAATTTTTCTTTAATTTCCTTGAGTTCGGCTTGCTTTTGTGGAATTTGAGCAGCCAAAATTGACTTTAATTCAGCAGAGTAATATCTTTGTTGAGTAGAAGCCTTGGAGAGGATCTTGGTGAGTTTAAGAGAAGATCTCATTTTTTATGTTATACAGATGGTGTTGTTGCTTTTTTTTTAAAAGTGAACAATAACATCCGAGCTTTAATACAAGATGGTTTTGTAAACAGTGGTTCTTCTGAGCAAAGCGCAAGCGATTTTGACTCTTTCTCTTGTAACAGTGACGCGCTTTGTTTTTTCGCCATTTTTCTAAATGCGGATTTGTATAAACCTCCGAGTCTCTGTGAATAAGCATAAAAAGGCGCTTACTCTCGAATATTAAGGAGCTTTCAGAGACTCTTCTTACAACTAATACTCTCCTTATCTGTACCAAACAAAACCCTTGATCATTTCTGCATAATTCACTTCTAGTGATGGTAAAACAAACTCGTTGCGGTCTCGGTCTGCAGCATCAATTCATTGTACAGTATAATAAGGGATTTATTATAGCGAAATTGATGCTTACTACTGTTATGTGTTTGGCCGATTCACTTTGGCGATTAAGTGGAGGCACACAAACCAGAACAGAAAATCCTTCCAGCTCTCATTGATTTGAATCCTATAGCCTTATTTAATGTGTTTGTAATCATCATATCAATTAAAATGTTGATTGCTGTTCATTAAGGATATGAGAGGTGGGACAAGTGTTTGCCTTGATTAAATTCTAATACAACAAACTTGTCTGGATAATTTATTTCTATTCGGAGGATTTGAGGAAGCACATGACGTCATATTGGATCAATGTCCTGTCAACTCCGCTATTGGCATTTCACATTGTAAAATTTTTTAAAAACTCTAATCCGCAGAAAGTAAACAAATTGATTGAATGCAGCATCTTGTTACTAGTCAACTGTAGATCTCAATTTTCAGTGCATTTGTGATGATGAATTTGAGGATCCTGTTCATAATACGATTTAATTGTCCTAATTTTCAATCCTCTCTACATTCTTACAAAAATTGCATACTTCTACTATCATCATGTTTATCAGTTCGGATTTTCGGAAGCTAATCAAAATAACATCATATCAAACAATGAATGTATTTTAATACCATTCAATCAAAATGTTGCATAAAATGCTGATTGGACCAAGAACAAAGATGTATTANATTAGGAAATTACTTAATTTTATCCATCATCATTGAGATTAAATTCAAAGGCAAGGTTGGATGAGTTGAAAACAATTCAATATGAAATTATTTCTATCAATTTGAAGAAGTTAAATATGAAATCGGAAAATATGAATTCATAAATGATTTATTTGTTTGATACATTCAAATTTCACCGTTGAGAGCTTTCTCACTGATTGTACGATTCTTGAAATCAATTCCACAATATTCAGAAAATTCATCTGTTTCATTATTGGATAATGTCATTCCAAGATAATTCATTACATCTTCTTGAGATGATTGTCTAATAACTTTGATTTGTTCTGAATCGTGCTCCTTTGCCGTGCTTTCATCAATTTGAATGATTTGAGTTTGTGTTAATTTTCCAAAATTTTCAATAAAACTATTCCAATTATCAAATGTTAGTTTAGCTTCCATAGATTCATTTGATAACTCCCAAAATACCTTTCTATAACTTCTCTTCCACAAGTGATAAATGATTGGCTCAGTTGGTGAGAATAACTTGTATCCTTTAGATATGAATTTTTTAAGCATGTACATTTCCTCACCAAAGAAAATAAATGGTAATTCATTATAGGGGCATTCTTTTACAATCTTTCCAAAACTGAATGCAAAACCTGCTGCAAAGAATAGTGAAGGAATTGGTTTTTCAATATGATTTTCCAAAACAATTTTAGCTCCCAATCTAACCATTTCAAATCCATTATCATCCTTTGAAAATGTTTTAGCAACAATGATTGTTGGTTTGGCATGTTCGGGAATTTGATTTGGTTGTTCATATCCTACTGGATATGTAGATAGAATGGAATGTTTGCTTCCATCATCAACTTGTTTCAATTGTTTGATTAGTGTAACATCCCATCCTTCATCAAATCTCATATGTGAATCAATTTGTAAGTAATAATCTTCTTGATCATATAAATTTTGTTGAATTAAATATCGAGCAAAACATGGGCCTTGTGATTGTTTGTAATTTAAAACAATTTCCTTAATTTGTTTAGAGTAAGATTGATTTCTATAATCGAATACATCATTAATTGAATCATTTTCTTCAACTTGTAAACATATACCGACACGCAATCTATTTGGATAATAAGCCTTTTTAAACATGTCATTAATAGTGTGTTGTAGCTCAGAATCTCTATATGAACAAATAGAAATAAATATTGTACTTTGTGTTAAATCATTAATTTGCTTCCACACATCCTTTTTCCCATACATCCACATTGTTAATGAAAATCTATCTGAGAGTGATGGTAAAACTTCATGATAATATTCACTTGAAAAGCTCAAAAGTCTATTAAATAATGGTTGAACTGTTGCTTCATTCTCTGCATTTTCCTTAAATTGATAATTATATGGTTTTCTAATATCGTTATCAAATGATCTTTCCTTTCTATATAATTTCAATGATCCACCATTAATTTCCTTATTGAAATATAATAAAAATGTTAATCTTCTATCAGATGATTGAAGTGGTGAAGCATCAGCATGTCTAATATATCTAGCTCCATTAGTATAAAAAGCAACTTGAATACTATTTCTATCTAATTCCAAATCGAATAAATAATTTAATACACGTCTAAAATTATTCAATTTTGAAAGAGTTTCCTTCAATGGAGTTTTATCAGGTACATCGGAATCAGATAACCATTTAAATAAATCTCCTCTTAATTCAGTATTAACATATTTAGCTGATCCTTCACCTATACCTGCTTGATTTAATTCATTCTTCATATTTAATAATTGATCTTTAGTATTACTAGTTAATTCTTCATTTTGAAAATCATCTTTCACAAAGAAACCATCATTTTGAATAGAATTAATTAAATCAAGAATAAATAATTTATCTTGTTGTGAGAATTCGTGATGATAATAATCGTTGTCGGATGATGATTTTTTAGATGATTGATTTTTCTTTTTACTATCATCAGCATCATTTAAAGATGAAAGCATTGATAGGAGTTTTAATTTGAGATCGGGTGTGAGATTGGTCAAGTCCATTTTTTTTTAATCAATTTCAATTCTTTTACAATGAAAAGCAAAATGTCAAGTTTTCATTCTATTTGTTGTTTTGATATTTTCTAATAACTTGAAATAACTGAAAATATTACTTCTTTCAGTTGGTTCTTGATACCAATAATCGTGCAATAATTTCACTAATTTTTCGTATTTAATTTGGGAATATCGACTTGTTTCGTATTGGCCCAAAACCCTTGAAAACATGTCCAAATTATCCAATGTTTTCTCCCAATTCAAAATCATTGCTCAAGGAACTCATTCAATGGAGCTAGTTTTACACTCAACTTTATCATTTATACATTATCTGATGTTTGACATTGTCAAGTTTAGGATAAATGGTAAAATGAAATATTGAATAGTTTGGCAGCATTCAGCCAAAATACACTTAATCAGAGAACAAACATTTAATGTGGAGGAATACGTGCTAAATTATTGTGTATAATTCATTGGTAAAGGAACTATTGTGATAGAATATAATAAGTTGGTCAATAGTTGATTTTAGGAATATTCAAATTTTATTACAATAAAGTTGATGGAATTTAAGGCTGAGAAATTGTTGTATTTCAATTAAATACTGTAGTGCTGTCCAAGTTTGGTGAAAATACAAGAAATCGAACTAGAAATGTCATTGTAAAAGTCAACTTTCTAATATTGACAATTTTAAATCCCAAAGAGAGTGCATACATCCACAAAAGGACAATAATGAACCAATGCCATTTTATTTCAACAAATTAACATTTATGGCCACCAAATATGTTACAAAATGTGAAATTTTGTTTATTAAAAGCTTTCCACAAGTTTCGAATAACTGTAGTCAAAAGTGAATTACAGTAAAATTAAAAAGAAGATATACCTTTTTAACAAATACAACTTCACACTATTAAATTTCCTGCAAAATCTTACACATACGGAAGTGAATCTCAAAAGCAAGTTTTAACTAAAAAGCAACTCATTTCCCCAATGAAAAATGTTTTCAAATAATTTATTGAATAGATAGACCAAATATAGCAAGCATGTATTCACACAAAGCTTGTTGAAAAGACACTCGCACAATTTGTGAAATAATCCTTTTCACATTTTTTGTAAGAAAAAGACTCTTCGCTTTTAATGTTGAATGCAGGGACTATGCTTGGTCTGTACTAATTGTTAATTAATCATTTAATACAATGACAATGGAACTCAATTTTATTGAATTACAAGTGTTTCGAATAAAACTTTACTCAATTGAATGTGAAATCTCATTAACAAAGATAGTTCCAAATGAAAAAGTGGAATCTTTGTCATTTAATATAAAAGAGATAGAATATTGTTTAATGTGGTTTTTCATTCCTTGAGTGAAGTTAATATGTGAAGATGTCTTCCTTATAGAGCTCACATTGGCTTACCTGTCAATTGTCAAGTAAATGACCGTGAAGCACACAAAGTCCAAAACCATCAAAAAGTAATTTTCATGCTTGCCGCTCTTCGTAAATCAAGAAGAATCGCTTGATGCAAAAACAACAAACAACAATCAAAATTCACTACACATTTCTTTCAAGATTGTTCTTAAAAAAAAACAACACACTGCTCCCTCACTTCTGCTCTGAGCATTCATACAACAACATTAGCGGAAAGTAGCCTTGATCTGTCCACTTTAAGCCTTATCGTGTGTTGCGTTTTTATCAAGCCTTTGCTGACTACAACAACAAGTAACCATACAACAACAACAACCTGCTAGTTATTAACAGCGTTCACTCTAATCTCTCTATTACATCTAACTGAATAGTCAACTCACTTTTTACTCAATCGACATGAAGCCTACAAAACAGTTCAAAGGACTTATTAATTACAAGCCTTCTAGTAGTAATTCAAGACACGGCAGTACTATTGAAGATGATTCATCATCCACCACTGATGACAAAGATAACAAACAGAGAATTGAGTTTGTTCATCACAAGCTCACTTCACTTTTACTTCGTTTAAATGATTTAGTTCTTATCATTGTTCCAGAAGAGTTTGAAATATTACAAACACTTGATCCAATGTTGCATGGTAAGGTCGGAACAATTGTTGGTTTAGGCCATTTTGATGAAGATGAATGTGAAGATTTAGTTCAAATTGAAATTGAAAACAAAAAGACTAATTCAATTGACCATACCATAACTCACAAACAATGTGAAACTGTTTCCGTTCCAAAGTTTTGTGTCTGTTTGAAGGCTGAAGTTTTTAATGAAAGAAAAGAAAGGTACCTCTCACAGAGAAGAGCCAGATCATATGATGCTCTCTCAACCTCTTCCACCACTTCTAGTACAGTCTCAGACATTTCTCTAACTAGCTTGCTTTCTACTACCCGTTCACTTTCTCCAGAGTGTTTCCCTTCAAATAACTTATCCTCACTCCTTGTTTCACCTTCCAAACAACATACCAGCTCACCTCCAACCACTTCTAATACCACCAACAGTTGCAGTCCAAAGTATTCTCTAGGTCCAAAGAAGACAACTTCCATTCTTAATAGACAAAAGAGATTCCACAGCAGTGCAACAGCTCCTCCTCCACTTCTTTCCTCCACTTCTACCTTTTTCCAATCATCAACTACTACACAAGCAGTTGGAAATAACAAGAGACCTCTCTCCTCACCAGGCAAGACAAGTAAGAAAAGCTCCTACCAATTTTCCTCAACTAATAGTCAATTTTCCTCAAAACACGACACTGATAATGATGTTGATATGAGGGACAATTTTCTCTCTCAATCAGTCCCAAAGTATATCAACAGTTTTATGCTTTCTGATTTTGAAAGTAGCAACATCTTCTCTGCTGACATTCCAAGTGAAAAAGTCAATAGACAAAGACGAGTCCAAGATATTGAAATGACAGAAAGTTCTGAAAGAGTATCGTAAATAAATATATTCTTGGCAAATCCATTATTTCTTCCTCTTTGAAAACTGAACTGCAACCATTTACAGAACCTCTCATATTAATTGAGAGAGTTTAGTAACATCTTCCCTCCATTTTTCTTAACGTCAAGCAAGTCATTTTGAAAAAAATGCCACTCCTTACATCATCAAATTATGAGGGTTATGGAGAGAGGAGTCAAGCATCATCACCTGCAAGAAATTCAGCCTTAAAAAATCATCATACAGGAGATGACCCAACAATTATGCACTTGGAATCAACGAAAAATGGATTTTCAAGATTGTTTGTTTCTAAACCATCTCCCTACGCAGAGCATTCGTCATCTTCATCAAATAGATATGCTCCCTCACCAACAAATTCTCGTCCAACAGTGTTTTCCTCAAAAACCTCAACACCAACTACCTATGCAACTAATAATCCTTCTCTTTCTCCCTCTCTAACGTTATTAAATGACGCCGAACGTCCAACATCATCCCTTGCAATCAATCATACACCTGGTCATTTCTCTGCTATCAAATTTCAAAGACAAATTCCTTCTCTTTCACCTTCTTCCCCAAGAGCCTCATCTACTCAATACAGAACAACAAATGAATATTCTCCCTCAACTGCAACATTAAGCAACAATAATACGGAACAATATGTTCCTCATACAAACCCAGAAAAAAACAGACCGCGCTCACCTTCTACAAATTTTGCGCCAGAAACTCAAACGTTTGATCCAGCAATCTTTAGGAGAAGAGCAGCCTCTCCAACTGTATTTAATACATCATCAAATAATAACAAAGCAGCTGTTGAGGAACATCATCATTATTATTATTTAGCTAATAAGGAAAAAATTGGAACACAACAACAACGAATGAGAAGAGAATCACCAACATTAACTCCAAGGGATCGGGAAATGTACATTAGTAAATCCCCTCATCCTTTCTTATCTACAATGTCAAGAGCAAATACAACACCAAGTACGGCATATTTTACTCCTCCTTCGTTTAAACCTTATGATTTTGAATCGGAACAAAAATCAGGAAGACAAAGTGGAATTTCTGTTGGTATGAAGGAAATTGAAATTTCACCTCGTAAAGAAAAGGAAGATCTCATCAAACAACTTTTACTGAGTGAAAAAACAGATAAAGCCTTCAAAATGGCAGAGGTACAACAAGAGAAAATTAAGAATGTGCAAAACAGCTACTTTACTGAGGAGTTTGCAACATCTGACATTGAACCAATCAAAATTTCTACTTCAAGACCTAAAAAGACCTCAATAATATTCAATAATCATGATGAGGGTAATACCACAGATAACGAAGATAGAGAAATTGTAAATATTCTTTCACAAATCAAAAAATCGAGAACAGCAATTAATGAAAATACTAATGTTAAGCCTCAAATAACACCAAAAAAAGAATCTCCAATGAAACAGAATATTTCTTTTGGGGAGGATAAACAAGGTTTAATAGATGTGAATTTATTTAAACAAAAAGAATTTTCTAAAACAACATTGATAGACGAGATTCAAAAGAAGAACAGGGAAATTATTGACCTCAGAAATAAGATCATCAAATTGCACTCAATGAATACCAATTTAGAATCTCAAAACAAATCTCTGGAAGACTCGCTTGAAGCCCTTCAATTTATTTCTAGCAGCAAGGATACAGCTGTGTCAGAGTTAAATAAGAGAATAGATGAGCTTCAAGTTAAATTGGATTCTGATTCCCAGACTCATACAAATGTGATTGAGGGTTTAAAAAAGACAATTGAATCGCTCAACCAAAACCTAAGAGAAAAAGAAGTTCAAGTAAGAGATCAAGACAGACAACATTTGAGGCCAATAATCGAAGAGCATAACAGGACAATCAGAGAATTAAGATCTGACATTGAAAGAGAAAGGCTTCACTACGAGGAAAAGAAAGCAAGGTTACTGGAATTAATTGCTTGCAAAGAGGATGAGATTAGAAAGAATGGAGAAAAAGACAAGCAAATTTTGGAACTCAATGCATTAATAGAGAGAAAGGATCAAGAAATAAGAACTCTCAAACTGTTCAGTGAAAATAATTTGCAAGAAATTGATAGATTCAAAAAACAAACACAACACCTTCTCGAAGAAAGAAGAGACTTTACTGAACAAGTGAAAGAAGAAATAAGTGTTCAAATCAAAGAAGGGCAGACAAAAGAGGAAAGAATCCACTTTTTGGAAAATCTAGTTGAGAAATACAAAAAGAAACTTGTTGGTGTTATGGATGATAACGAAACAAAGAAGCAAGAGTTATTGAGATTAATTGAGGAGGAAAGAAGAATATCAAACTCTCTAAGAACAGAAAATTTCAAATATAAGAACAATGAGAAGGCATTCCAACAAATAGACTTTATTAGAAGAAATATGTCGTCAACTATTAAGGATGTGAACAATCTTTTAACACTTGTAGAGACAGACGGATTGGAAACTTCACAATCTAAACTTTTTAATCAGCGTAAGTATTGTCTCTCGTTAATATCTAATCGATTTTAGAAATTTCTACTGAAGGAGATCTATTGACATTGTCATCAATGTTAACACAACAAACTGACACATTAAAGAATAGACTCACAGAGAGGTATGCTGGACAGCTAGGTGACTGTTTAACACAATAAACATTCAAATAATTTTTGGAGAATATTGAATATAAAGTTTGGTTGTCAATTCTTTCATGGTTATTTCTGTTGATTCAGGTAAATCAGAATCAGTCATTAAGGCTGGATTTCCAGAAAATGAAGTAAAGGTAGGAATAACAGTATCAGAAGCAACAACAGAATTATCCTCAACTCTACAACAATCGCTTAGAATACATCTTTCTCCCTAAATAATTATTTCTAAATTCTATATAATCCTCTGCTAATTAACTTACAATAACACAATTTTTGCCAATGTACACAAATGAACCAATAGCAGCTGCCTGTACAACAGAATTATCTCCAATATAAACATGATCTCCGATTGACAATTGTAAATAAGCTCCTATATCTTGCATCAATTCCATTCCATAATTTGCAGTTGGTGGTCTAATAATTGCATTTTCTCCAATTATTGTTAATTTTCCAATCTTGATAGTTTGTAAATCTCCTCTCAATATTGCTCCTTTATTAATTAGACTTTTTCCAACCATATGAATATTTGTCATTCCATAAATTCCTGCATCATGATTGACTTTACTTCCTCCCTATAAAATTATAAATATTATTATTTAATAATTCTTCATGTTGATTCTTTATTTCAAGACATACTTTACTATTGAAGAAATCCTCGAATGTAGGAAGAGGTTCCATTTTTTTGTATTATGATATTTCATCATCTAATGATTTGTATTCTTTTGTATTCAATGAAATGAATGCAATAATAATCAAATAATCTAAACATCATGATGATGATGATACTATTTCTTGACAATTAATTCCAAGGATCAGTCCAAAATGATTCTTTATAATATTGGGCAACATCAAAAACAAATTCTTTCTTTTGATGCTTGTTGTGATGATAGTTACGATGTCCTCCTCCATTGTTATTGTATCCTCCTCTACCACCTCTACCACCTCTATGACCTCCTCGACCTCCTCTGTATGCCTTGTTGTAATTTTCCATTTTTTAATTAAATATTTAAATTAAATTGTTGAACGTATTTCTAATATTATGATTTATTCATCAATGTGCAATGTGGAATCAATTTCACTAAATTCATTAAAGTATTCAGTGAAAAGGTCAATGGTTGATTTGATATCAACACAACCACATTGTTCTCTGATAGAGTGCATTGAAAGTTGAGGAATACCAACATCAATGGTACGAATTGAAGTGTTGGAAGATGTAATTGGACCAATTGTGGATCCACAAGCACTATCATTTCTTACAACAAATTGTTGAATTGGAATATTGTGACGTTTAGCCAATTCTCCAAACAAGAATGAAGTATGTCCATTGGTGGCATATCTTTGATTGGCATTAGTCTTGATAACCAAACCTTGATGGATTTGTGGTCTGTGTTTAGCTTGATGCTTTTCAGAATAATTTGGATGGACAGCATGAGCCATATCACATGAAATAATGAATGAGTTTGCAATACAAGCTCCATAAGAGTCAACTGGAGCATTCTTATCAAAGGAGGCATGTGTACATTGAATAACTCTATTAATGGTATCATTAATAAGACTAGAATCAGCACCATAAGAACTTGTACTACCAACTTCTTCATGATCAAATAAACAAATCATTCTAATATCCTTTTCAGTAGCCAAAGTATTCTCGCTGTTAAGGAGAGCTTCAAGAGAAACAAAGCATGATGCCAAATTGTCCAATCTTGGAGCAAAAACAAATTCATTATTTACACCTCCAATAACACCAGGTTGAACATCAGCAATTGACATGTCAAAATCACGAATATCAGCAACATTACATTTCAATTCTTCAGCAATAGCTTTCAATAAAACAGAGTGATGGTTAGCAATAAATCCCTTAGTATTTGGATCATCACTCAATTCTCCCAATTCAGTACCAATAATTGGAAGTAACTATTGAATTTAGTTTACAAAATGTCAAACTACTTACATGGAGTTCAGTATTAGGTTTGAAACCATCAGTTGAAACTTCTCTTTGTAAGTGAATAGCTAAAGAAGGAATACGAAGAATTGGTCTCTTAACTTCGACAAGATGTTGCTTGAATTTTCCTTGTCCATCAGAAAGAATAACTCTACCAGCAACTGTCAAATCTCTATCGAACCAAGTATACCACAAACCTCCACCATACTATTTAATAATATTTCTTCCATTTCCGAAATATAAAATCATCACTTACAGTTTGTACACCAACTTGAAGATAACCAGAACTCTTTTGTGATGAAATTGGTTTAATGACAAGATGAGGACTGTCAGTGTGGGCTCCAATAATTTTCAATCCTGATGTTCCAGCAGCAAATTTTCCACCAACAGCAAATGCAACAATTGTTGAGTGATTTCTGGTGAAGAAATACTTTCCACAAGGCTTAATTTTTTGTTCCCAATTTGCTTCTCTTTCAAAGAGTTGTTCATATCCACTATCTAACAATCTTTTTTTAATTGATCCGACGGCATGATAAGGTGATTTGGATTCATTGATAAAATCAACCATCTTTTGAGTGATCGGTTGAGCATTTGAAAGTTCTTCGAGTGATGGAGCCATTTTTTATTATTGTAATTAATAATAATTATTAAATAAAATACAAAAAGAGTTCTTTTTAGTAAGAGAAATTAGAAAAGAAACATAAAAGAAACATTGGTCAATGATCTTATTATCATTCAAAATTGAATAGTCCTGATGAAGGAAACAGTGTTGCAATAATTAGTAAATTAAGGAAGAGGCGATTTATTTCCATGATTAATAAACAGTTAAGAGCTAATAATATTCATCAATTTCCATCACTTTTGATTTCATTACAAATTATTTACACAATGAATAACGTAATACCTGTGATCTATTCACAAATTGTCAAGTAGCACCCCGGAAAGTGAAACTCCTCATCTCCCACCTTGTGGAAGAATTACAAGAAAAAAATGCAACAACATTCTTCCGTGCGGTTTGGTTGTTTTATCGCAACAGTGTTGGCACTTATTGCCATGTTGGCATTATCTGTTCAACATGTTGAAGCCTCCCAAAAACTCAACCTCTACTATGAACCAAAGGATAAGAGTCCTCTTGCCTATAAGAACATTGAATCTTATAGAATTGTTGACCAAAACAATAACAAGATGAAAATGATGGTCGGAGAACCAATTGCTCAAGTACACTATGAACAAACTGTTAATAAGACTGGTTGGGCTACTTTGAGCTTGAGTACTAATCCAGATCACAGTGATGAAGAACAAGCCTTCGCTGCTGGTTTTATTGAAGGATTTACTACTGGAGAATTAATGCAAGAATATTGGACTGGATATAAACAATATACTTTTGATGATAGTCAAAACAAGCAATTGAATGCATTCTTGGATGGTAACTTCCGTTTCATGAAGAGAAAGATTGCTGAATCAAAGAATTCAACTGATACAAGTGAAAAGCTTTACTGGCATCATGTTGCTTTGGTTTTGGAACAAGTTGAAGGTTTATTTGCAGGTTATTTGAAGGCTATGGCTGAAAAAGATACCTTGCCTCAACTTTCATTGATTGACATGTTTAAATTCCAATTGGATGGTGATATTGAGGATTTGTCAAACAAGTGGTCTCCTCCATCTTTCCACACAATGACTCAATTTGAATTGGAATCATTTGCTATTTTCAAGACTAAATGTAGTGCTTTTGTTAAGTTAAGTCATGATAGAAGCAATGTATTCTTGACTCATGCTACTTGGGATACTTTCCAAAACATGCTCAGAATTTTCAAACATTACAGAATTAACTTTAAGAATGTTCCAGCTAAATTGGTCAGTTTCTCATCCTCTCCTGGTTGGTTGGTTTCTGTTGATGATTTCTACATTACAGATGCTGGTTTGGTTATTACTGAAACTTCAAACAATATTTTCAACTTGACTCTCTATAATAAGGTTGTTCCAGAAACTTTGTTCTACTGGATCAGAAATATTGTTGCTAACAGATTGGCCACTTCTGGTAAGGAATGGACTCAATTGTTTGCCAAGTACAACAGTGGTACTTACAACAATCAATGGATCGTTCTTGATATTAACAAGTTTGTTCCATATGCTAAAACATCTCACCCAGATCTTCTCTACATTTTGGAACAAATTCCAGGTGATTGTAAGATTGCTAGTGTCAGCCATATTCTTGATAGTTCTTATTGGGCTTCTTACAATATTCCATACTTCCCTTATATTTACAACATTTCTGGTTATCCAGCTCAATTCCAAAAGTATGGTGATTTCTGGAGTTATGAACATTGTCCAAGAGCTAACATTTTCAGACGTGATCTTCCAGCTGTTACTGATATTGAAGGTGTTAAATCTTTGATCAGACAAAACAAGTACCAAACTGATCCATTCTCTGGTGGTGATGCTTGCCATGCTGTTGCTGCTAGATGTGATTTGAATCCACCAAATATGAGAGCTCAAGCTTTCGGTGCTATTGACGCTAAGGTTACTGATGTCCACATGGCTAAACTCAATAGAGCTGTTGCTCAATCTGGTCCAACTCATGACACTCAACCTGTTTTCGAATGGACTGCTAACTGGGATAAGACAAATATTCACACTGATCAACCAGTCAGATTTGCTTTTGATTGGGTTAATATGGCTCCTCAACTTTAATTTATTATTAAAATTAATATTTCTTGTATCTTTTGCTGGTATCATAATTGTTGGGCCTTTTGTCTCTCTGGTCACGATTATCCTTGTCTGTATTGTCTCTACTACTATCTCTGTAATAAGAATTGCGTTCCTTGTTATCTCTGTTATCCCTATAGTCTCTATCTTTATGGTTTTCTCTATAATCTCTTCTGTCTCTGCTATTGTAATCTCGAGAATCATATGGTGGATGGTTTCTGTTATTTCTGTATTCTCCACCCTTGCTATCATTAACATCTTTGTAAGGTCTCTTTTTTTGAAATTCAGATTGCGTTCTTGATCGTTCCATCTCTAATTCATATGGATCTTCAAATGAAGTGGTATTGCTTGAAGAAGGACGATGGTTTTTTGGAACAGGATTGACCTTATTTTTGGAAACCAATTGTTTCATAATATTATTCTTTTCCTTTTCAAATTTAGAATGGGATAGTTTTGATTCTGGTGTTGAAGGCGGTGTAGAAACTACTTGTTTTTCAGGAACAACTGTTAGTGGAATATCTTTTGTTTGTAAAATTTGTAAAAGCTTTGAGGCTTCTACAGTTTCCTTTTCCACTATTATTTGTTGTCTTCTCAACCAAAGCGATTCCTGATCTTTGAGATAATTGGTATTAATTGGCTCTTCTGGCCTCTTAGGTATCGTTGGGACAGTAGTTGCTTTGGCTTTCTGTTCTTGAGTTGAATCTACTTTTTTCCTATCATAATTTCTTTTAGCTCCATAAACAGATTCAAATTCATTTTCGCTATGAGCCAACTGTTTTTCTTCCTCAGTCAGAATATTGAGAGGATCATCTCGTAATAATTGATCTCTAAAATCTGCTCGTTTGATCCACTTGGTATTTTCTTTAA